AGACCGACTAGAAAACGCCTGCGGGGGAAAACGGCTATCATATTCGGCATTAGCATGGTCGATTACCTATTGTCCACTAGGTTTTAAGCCAAAAGCGATGGGGCAGTTGGTGGCCTTCCCTCGTAAGCTTGGCACTTAGAAAAAAAAGTTTCAATGACAAAGAGATAGAGCGTTTGCTGAAGTATATGACCTGCTTTTCAAATATTTAATTTTTTCACCTCTATCTCTTCCTGCTCTATCAGGCTATATGGTTTGCAAAATTTTCTGACGAAAAACCAAAGACTTGGTTTTCTAGCAATGAGGTTTTCCAACAAACTCTATCAAGTTTTCTCATAAAATGGTAATATGCGCCTCATCTGATAGAAAAATCTTCGGACTATTCAAAACAGTATTCAGATTTGATCCTTTTTACTGGAAAATCAAAAAGAAAGGAGTTCTTATGATTATGACACGCTGTACTGTATAAATTACATAACACAATGTAATAGTTATTACAGAATCATTTTAGGTTTTGCAACCACGAAGTTTTAAAGAATTGAAGCCATTCCAAAATTACAAGTTTTGATTATAGATTTCTTTTGCAAAAATAAATATACAATGTAGGAAAAATGCGTCACATATAAAAAAAACAAAAATGTTACTGTAGAAAGAAAGACCATGAATTATAATCAAGGTGCTAATAAAGAACTCGTAAATCAACACGAACTACTGTTCTCTAGTGAAGTTTTGAGTGATTTAATAAATCGAGCGACGTATTATAGAGAAAAGAAGCTGTCATTTCACTCATAAAATAGAGGAAGTTAGCTTGATTGAATGAGTATAACTGGTATGTTTCGCAAGAACTTATTCGCCTGCTTGATCACCAACGGTAAACTCATCCGAATCATTATCATACGATTCGTCTGCATGATTATCTGCTTGTGTTCTTCGAACTAAAGATCGTAAAAACAGATAATCATCGACAAGTAACTGTCCAATTGGATTCAAAACACCATAGTTATTTTGATTATTGTGGTTATTTTTTAGCAATACATTATTGTCAATATTGAACAATTTCACTGCTATACAAGCATAACAGTGATCATATCCATGTGAAGTACATGAACAATGCCATGATGATCCAGTCGAATAAGATTTATAACATTTATCACAACTGAAACCTTTACCTGAATAGGTAAGGAACGTTTTCGTTCCAGGTACTGAACGTTTTCGTTCTTTTGAGTCACATAATTTCAATTCGTGACCGCTAGCACATTTAAATATTGGCGTTTCTTTTAGTTTTGAATCTGATTCTAACAGTTTATCAACGATTTTTGGATAAAGATAGGTGCTCAAGGATTCAAGTAGTTGATAATATTTTGATGATGCATTGCGATACGGTTCTATTTTAGATTTTTGTACAAATGTATCTCCAATAAAGTCGAACTCATCACAATGTTGTTGGCCCAAGTGTGTAACAAGTTGTTGTGTATTATACGTTGTTCTGTCATCCTTATCCTAAATGAAAAATTAGAGATATTATGAAAGAGAAATAACTTTGATTTCCTTACTTTTAATTTTTCTTGACAAACAGCATGTGGACATGCAAAACTTATCGCGCTGCAACGCAGTTGATGACTATCATAATCTCGTGGAAAGAGTCTTTCATTGCATGTACATTTATATGTACCTAAAACACTCGAATATTATGAGCATACACTAACTTATTTCATGATTAAGAGAAAACTTTGGTCATAGCGGCTTACAAGCTACTATGCCAAGAAATGATCGTACATAAAAGAATATAGCTCACATTTGTCAACTAAATCACGATATTTTTGTGCTACTTGAAATTCGTAATTTTCGGCACGACAATGGGGACATCCGTTTTCATATCGAGATTTATCGGCATCTCTAGCACAGAAGACACGTTGACAACAGGATGTTATCATGGCATCTTCAGCTGCTCCCAAACAAACAGGACACGTAATATCATGAAGGTCTAATGTTTTTGAATCACTAGCATCTGATGACTCAGCGATATGCATGATCAGAAACTAGATAAATGTAAATCTACAGAGATAATAAACAATGATTTTACATTTATGAAACTAGTTGAAGGCTCTATAAAGCTGGAAAACTACTATGTCATCGTGAGGATGCGCTGTTGCTAAAAAAGGTCTCATCCTGATGTTCAAACTACCTACCCTTCAACACTTTAATCGAAATAGCAGTCATAAACAAGTAGCTTTACTTGGTAACTGGGGAGCTCATCAATGCAGCTTTTCCCTCAAACACATGACTATATTATTGAGAAAGACACGATTTAAGCACATGTCTTTCTTGTGTCATACATATTTCTTTTTTTCTCGTGTGAATGACTTTCTTGACTCAAGAAACGCATGCGCATGAGATACTTGAGTCACGCGCATACTTTTTCTCTTTCTGCCTAGATCTGCTTTGACCAATGAATATTGAAATTTTGATTTCGTTCTTTTCACATGTTTTAGTTCGTGGACTGGTGAAAAACTGCTGCATGATATATATATATCAATATATATTAATACATATACATATATATATATATTTATATATTTTATATATATTATAGATATATATATATTAGGGCGGGTCAAATTGTAGGGAGCAAAAAAAATCGATGTTTTACCTATCCTAGCGGTGTTCTACGGGTCGTTTTAAGAAACTTTGCCC